ACCAAGAAGCAGAGGATCTTCGGGGTGGATGAGAAAAGGAAAATGCCCAGGGACCCTGGGGGCCTGCCTCCTGAGAAAGCGAAGCCACCCCCCCTCACCTTTCTTGTCTGACAAGCTCACAGCCATAATCTCCCAGGTGGTGATGGAGTCTTTCAAAAACACCTTCATGGTCTTCGAGGAGACTCTAGATGGAGGAGAAATGGGGCCTTAGGAGAAGATGTGGTGGAGGGGGAGAGAGGGCATGGAGGGGCCCCAAGGGACAGGTTGGAGGGGAGCAGGGGTGGGCACATAGAGGTAGCTCACCTCTTGTTTTTTCTAGGTTGGGTTGTGGAGTTCCAGTGTGACTCCAGAAAACGGGGGGAGTTGGGGTGCATGCAAATTAAATGGTCTGGTCTAGGGTGTTGGTAAGAAGTGGCCTGGGGATGGGTTGAAATGGGGGTATCCCAGCCTCACCCATTTTTCTCTGGGTCCTTTAAGTCCTCGATGGTCCACAGCCAGCTCTCAGGGAACTGGCTTCGGGAAACGATGTCTTCTTCTGGAATGATATCCTCATCCAGGTCACCTGGGCAGGTGGGGGGCAAGCTGGGTTTAGAACAGACCCACTTTCCCTCCTGTCCCCGTAGATACTCATCTCTGGAGGGGTTCCTGGCAGCGAAACCTACCCATAGCCATGTGATGACTTTGGGGGAGGCCCAGGTATATTTGCCTTTGAGGGCTCCTGCCTCCATAAAAATATTAAAAATCATATTTTACAACTGTGTTGGTATAAAGGCAAAGATAATCCAGGCTAGGTTGTATTCATTTCCTCTGATTTTCAAAGAAACAAAAGCACCTGTGTAAGCTTCTAAAGGTATCATGACCCCAGGCACCGTGCCTGCTGAGTCTGAAATCACGTGGGTCCTGAGAGCAACAAGGTGAGAGGAGAGATTCCGGGCTTGCTGGAGACCCTGAAGAGGTGGTGGCCTCTACAGCCAGCTGGACGCCATCAGCAAGTAAACAAAGCTGGGCTGGAATAGGGTTCACCGCTGGCTGTGCTCCTCAAAAAATGATGGACAGATTTTAATTTGGCTCTGGGTCTGTTTAACAACAAAGTAGGCGGAATTGCATAGATGCTCAAATCCACTCATGCTCTAGGATAATCTATCGAAGTGCTTTTGGGGGTACTAACATTTAAGCAATCCTCTGTCTCACCCCCATTTGACTAAAAAACATACACACTACTGAAAAATAAATCTCCATGTGAGTGTAAACCATATCCCAGCAGATCAGAGTTCTAACTTCCTCAGTAGCCTTATCTTCTCTTTGCAGAAGAAAGTCTCTCTGTCACTGGAGTAGAAAGCAGCATGCCTAGTTGTCATAATTTGCAAAGAGACTGAAGATAGAGAGTCCTTTGCTCATGCGTGTTGGGAATCTTTGTGTGTTTTGGAGGGTGGAGAGGTGAAGGGGGTGCTAGCTTTCCAGCTAAAAGAATTTAGAAATACTTGTCCACTTTGGCAACAGCTGCCTCTGAGAGGCTGCTGCTAATTTCTAAGCCCCCACCCCGAAGTACAGATGTACACGAAAATCATGTGTTACCATATAAGGCATCCATCCATATCTGTTATCTTAAAGGCTGAGTGAACATTGATCTTTAGGAACATCTCTCTTGATTTAAATTTTTTAAAATGTTTAAAAAAAAACATAAATAAAAGGAATAAAGAGGAACTTTACAATGGAGAAACAGGGCAGACACTGCCTCAATCAAATGATCGAGGTTTGCATCACCAATCATGGGACAAGTCAATGTCACGCGCCTCCTGACACGAGGCACCAAGGAGTACACGATATCTCTTCTGTGACAGTCCTGCCAAAAATGCGAAACCTGAATGTGATCATGAAGAGACATCAGACAGACCCAGGTTGCCAGACAATCTTCAAATTATCTGGCCTGTGTATTTCATATGTCAAGAACATGAAAGGTACCGAAAGACTGAGAGCTGCTGGGGGTTGGACAGCTAGGAGGAGGCGGAAGAGACACAACCAGACACATATATGCAACGCGTGATTCTGAACTGATCCTTTGCCTATAGAGGACTAAAAAGAAAATTAAAAAGTGGCAAAATCTGAGTGGAGTCTGTGAATTAGATGGTGGAAACAAATCACCATTAATGTCCTGATTCTGATCACTGTGCTGTGGTTTTTAGGAGAATATCTTTGCTTCCCAAAAAAATCCACACTAAACTATTCAGAACTGTGGGGGCATCAAACAGTTCAAGGGGGGAAAAGGTTTTTAATCTGCACAACAGTTTGTCTGTAAGTTGAAGGCTGTTTAAAGAAAAAAAAAAGATCATTATTTTTGTGTTGTTCTGCCAGCCTGCCCCGGGCAAGCTTCCCAGTCTTCCCTGGGTTTTAAGCAGAGGCATTCTTTTTTGTGACTTTCAGCCCTGTAATTGATCATGTAATTTCCCTCAGTTTCACAAGCCACTCACACTTGCCTTTGCTCTTGCAACCAAATTTGATCAACACAGTTTACAGTCCCCAATGACAGGCACCTCCTCCCCTCTCAGACAGGGCCCCTCCCTGCCCCAGGACTCACTCCTGGCCAGCCCCAGGTTCCCCTTCTTGAGGTGCTGGATCCGCATCTGGGTGATGTAGTTGCAGCAGTCGAGGAAGGCGCTTACGCAGGCCTTGCCCTGGAGAATGTACTGCGCCCTGCGCTGGCACGAGTACTTCATGAGGTTCTCCCGCATGCCGTCCTCGCAGCACTTACGCAGCTCCTTGTCCGGGTACTGTCCCGCTGTGGGAGCACACCCCCCAGTCACGCGCCCTGCGGGGCCTCTCCAGGGAGACCTTCCCCGCATCCAAGCCTTCCCCTCCTCCCCCTTTGCTGGGATCTCAATAGACAAGGTGCAAGGTTGGGGCGGGTGGATGAAGGCTCCCACCTTTGTCCTTCCTCTTCTCCATGAGCTGCACCGAGCGGCGGCGCCGGGTGGCTGGTTTCGGGCACGACATATCTGAGGGGCAGGCGGATGGAACAAGATGGATTAAGCACTGACTGCCTGTCCTTGGTTTACTCCTCACAGCAGCCTCAAAGTAGGAGTGTTATTGCTCCCATTTAACCGATGAAGACACTGAGGCTTGGAGAGGAGAGTGATTTGCTAGTTGGTGATGGAGGCAGGACCCAGGGTCCCCTGATCCTGTCTGGGAGGTAGAAGTGCTGCCCCTCCCTGGATGTCCACTGGCCGACTCCTCACCTGACCTCTGTTCTGTCTTCAGGCCTTTGTTGGTCTGGAAGGCCAGCCCTGCGTCCGTAAAGACGCCCGCATAGTCCTTTCCACTGCCCGGTGTGCAGCCAATGTCTGCCTTCTCCACTGTGTCCCAGATCTGCGGAGCGGGAGGGGGTCGAGTGTAGGCTGAGGCCAGGCCAGCAGTGCCTGAGTCAACTCACCAACATATCCACCCAACCTCTCCCCTGTCCTCATCTTGGTCCCCAGACACTCCCCGGTGGGTGAACCAGAGTGTGCTGCTCTTGGAATCAGAGCTGTGCCCATCAACATGACCATCCTCAACTTAGAGCCTTGTCCATCCACATTCCCATTTGGAACTTGAACTTCAACCCATCCCCATGTCTGTGTCCCCTTTGATCTCTGCACTCAACCCACACCCAGCCGCACATCAACGGTTCTCCCCAGCACCACTGCCACCTCAACCCAACGCCATCTCTTCGCCTCTGCCATCTTCTACCCAACCTCAGCGACATGGGGACATACCTTACTCTGAGTCAACTTGTTCTTCTTATTCAGCACAAACACGCCCTTGTCCACGGCCACGAGCCCCACTCGAGCCCCCTGGTTGCCCTCGATCTTGAGCGATATCTGTTGTCCAGGTAGATGCTGCTGCTTCTCCTCCTTCAGGGCACTTTTCACCACCAGCTGTGAGGAGGTTGAAGGGGCGGGAGGGAGAAGTGAGCCCAGCAAGGCCCCAGCTGTGGTTAGTAGAGGACAGCGGGGGTCCCGGTCTGGTCTGGACGGAGAGAAAGGTGGAGACAGAGAGAAGAAGGGAGACGCCAAGAACCAGCATCAGGTGGAAAGTCAAGGAAAGAGAAAACTGGAAGCAAGAGAGATACTGAGATTAAAACAGGGAAGAGAACGAGATGGAAAAGGCGAAGAGAGAGGCAGGAACTCTACAAGCAGGGGAGAAACGGGTTCAGAGGCTGGAGACAGGCAGAGGCAGAGAAAGCAGAGGGTCCCAAGATGGGCACAGAGACAGCCACGCTCACCTTGCCCACACACGAGTCCTTGACATCCACCCACACGGAATCGGCCACCACCTCCCTCTGGCCTCTGGTGATCAGCGTGTAATAGGCCACCAGGCGGAAGGAAGGGATAAAGTCTGGCGTGATGGTCAGAGGCAGCACCACCAGGTCCTGGCCGGCCTCTCGCACCTGGCGTCCCACCTTCAAGAGCTTCCCCTTGTTCATGACCTGGGGGGGGGACAGGTTGGCATAAGGATCAGGAAGCAGGAGGGAGGATGGGGGGATCTGGAATGAGAAAGGGCGTTGGAGGTGCTGGAGAAGCGAGGAGGAGGGAAACCTGGGGGTTGTAGGAAGCCACGCACCAGGTAGGTGTAGTATCGGATATTGGCATCCTGGCCAGGGTCCATTCGCAGGTGAAAGTTGACGTGGAGCGTGTCGCCTGGCTTGAGCTCCACTCGGGGCACAGAGAGGTGCAGGTAGTTGTTGGAGTTGCCCATCGTGCTGTAGGGCAGGGCCTGCATTTTGTTGGTGGCCTGTCGTGCCTCTGGGATGCCCTCCTTCACTGTGCGTACCTGAGCAGGGAGAGAGGAATGCGTGCTGGCCTACCCGAGAGGTCTGCGTCTGAACCCCCAGGCCTGGGAACGTGGTGCCTGACATGACAAGGGAGACTTTGCAGATGGGATTGAGTTAAGGATCTGGACATGGGGACGCTATCTGAGGTTACCCAGATGGGTCCAATGTCATCACAAGGGTCCTTAGAAGAAGGACATCTATGCAGATGACAGGAGGGCCCTGTGCAAATGGCAGGAGGACCATCTATCCAGATGGCAGGACCCCATTGTGCAGACAAGAACTCCTCTATGCAAATGAAACATCTCTATGTGAACGGCAAGACCCCTTTGTGCAAATGAAAGGACCCTGTTATGCACATGACAAGATGCCTTTGTACAAACATTAGGACCCTGCTGTACAAATAAAGTCCTGTGTCCTGGTGGGGGTCCTATGGTTGGGGCAGACTCACAGTGATGGACAGGGGCTGGGAGCTCCTGTGGGTGTTGATGGTCAGCTTAGCCACGCCATTATCTTGGGTCAGAGACTGCCCTTGGGTGGAGTCCTGAGTCGCCACGGGGATGTGGCGGGCTGGGGAGCCGTCGGGGTTCGTCACAAACACCTGTGGGTACAGGGGAAGGTGGAGGGGGTTCAGCAGACCCAGAGGCATGGCCAGTGTTCAGGAGTGGGGTGGGGGTGCAACCTCGCCCTGGGTCTCACCATGAGGTCAAAGGGCATGGCGGGTTTGAAGAACTTGGGCGTCTTGGTGAAGTGGATCTGGTAGGGGGAAGTCACGATGGGGATCCCGCTGCGCTCCACCTCCACCATGTCGCTGCCTGAGGGGGCCAGCTGTGAGCTCAAGACCAGGCATCGCCCCTCAGATTGGACCCTGTCTTCATACTGGAGTCCCTGTTCAGCAGGCTGCTCCTACCTTCATTGAGGCCCCCTCCCTCTGACTGGGCCTCCCTCATCAGGTTGAGTTTTGTACCTCAGACTGGACCCCACCTTCATTCTGGGCCTCCTCCCTCAGGCCGAGCTGCCTCCCTCGGTCGGGCCCCTCCTCTCAGACTGGACTGTGTGGTGGGACAGTCCACCCTTGGCCCTGGCCTCACCTGAGTGCAGGATGACGGTGACCGACACGTACAATGACTTTCCCACAAGGGCATCCTCTCCAGAGGGCTGCACCCCATTCAGCAGGACCTCTCGGCTCAGCACAGCCACCCCAGTGCCATCATCGATCTGGGATAGGAAATGAGTGCTCAGAGAGTGGGAGGGGTGGGGG